AATCCACTGGTTCCACACTGATTTTGATTCTGGATTTTGTTTAATTCTGGGGTTGGAATTCAAGGTTGTTTTTTTATATGACTTTTCATTTTGCTTTTTATGTAATAGCCTTTTTTAGGCTTAAAAACACTGCAGAACTTTTGGATTTTTCTCCTTATTTACCCGTCTTCTTATCTCTTCTTGCTTCAACTTTAGTTTAGTAAGTTACCCTTATATGGCCTCTGCCATTGCTTGAATTGTTGTTTGTTTCTGAGTTCAAATTCTGCAGAAAATTTACAGAAATTCATCTGTAGGTTCTTTGTAACTTCAGGGTTTCATCTTGAGAGGTTTCATGTATGTTTACTGTAGTTTCATCTTTCAAATTTTTATATTTTCTGGCTTTGAGTTGAGTGGTTTTCAATGGAAAATCTAACCTCCACCTCTCTCTTTTATGGCTTTATACTGTTTCTGGGTTCGTCACTTTTAATCGCATGGAATTATTTTGGTTTGATCTTGTTCTCATTCCTGCAGGATTTTTATGCTGGAATGATTTCTAGTACTTGTATGGACTTTAACAAGTAATCTACTCAATCTAGGTGGAAAGGTTTCACCAAGGAGTGTACTAAATTCTCTACGATTATGGAGAGGGTTTATGAATCATCGAACGGAAATGGACCGACTAGTAATGGCCACATGGTTACAAGGCATTCTTCTTGTCAGTCATTCTCGAAGGGATCTTTACGATGGCTCGATGTAAGAGTCTTCTATGTCAGAGTAAGCAAGTGTGAGACTGATGATGAATCAACTCCTACATACCTCTCTCTAAATCACGTTCCATTGAATCCCGATACACTTCTTGAAGTAAATGGTGTAAGAATCGGCATCTGTTCCGATGGTGCGTCGACCCTTCTTAGAAGGGATCGTCTAGACAAAAAATCCGAAGAAGTCACTTTTGTGAGCACGGACAGCATAAAGCTGTCAGGGAGTGTGAAATTTGAGGTTTTCAATAAGGATGCTCTTCTGCTATCGGGGGACTTAGAGTTGTGTGACAGTAACGGTTGCACCGAGGAGTTGAGAGGTAGTGGTTCGATGTGGAGCATGAACTGCGAATCAGCTATGACTTCAGGCTTTGGTTTTCTCAAGGCCAAACAATATCACAGTCCAGGTTCAGCTTCACCACAGTTGAGGTATATGTTGCTGGGTCATTCTCAGGCAGTCCCACCATATTAACTAGAACTTTACAGCCTAGTTTCCGGAAGAAACAAATGAAAGGGATGCTGGATTCGATACCAGAGTATGAGGCAGCTGAAGATCAGAAGGAAGTTACCCCTTTGCAGGTATTTATTAACATTTGAATTTCAAGCTCTTCAAAAAGAAATCTGACCGGTCTCCCCTTCGCTGCTCAAGTGATATGTTATCCTAGCCATTCATCATATGCTACAAAATTTTCCCTAAACTGTTCATCGTCTAACCAAACTCCTTACTAAGAATCAATTTTGCCTTTAAATAGGCGGCATGAATGATAGGTACATACTTTTAATTCAAATGGCAATACTCGGACTAAGCTGTAAGTGACATTGTTAACACTATACATTACCTAGTATGGTACCGGCACGGTTGCATACATTTATCTCATTACCTATGTCAGTAATCCTTTGTGCAATTCATACGATACCTGAACATTCTGGTTTATTAGATGGGTATGTTTGCCTAATACTTGCCTTTGAAAGAGTAGAGAAGGCCTGAATATCTTGTTGAGGTCATTAAAATTATTATGTGATATGCAGTTTAGTTAAAGGTTCAGGTAGAAATTGTTCTGCTGTATCGTCTTGCTTCTTCGAGACATCTTATGAACCTCAAAACATCCAAAGGTCTGTTAATCGGTAGAAACCTAATGACACAAGTGACTCAGAATGTAGTTTCCTCGATTGAACTTTTAGCACTAACATACTGGCTTAGAACCTGGATGCTAGTATTATACTCGGTAATTGAGCAATTTCTAGAGTTTAAACCGGGAATAGCATCTGCAGCCCCGGTCTCTATTACCGTTCTGTGACCTTCTTTCTCTCTGTTCTCACAGATACCAGACTACTCGAATCATTATAAATCAGAAGGTGAAGAGCACAGCTATGTGTATTCAGGGGTGGATTATTTTGAGGGCGAAGATGGGGAGCTGTCTTGGTTCAATGCGGGTGTGAGGGTGGGTGTGGGAATCGGCCTCAGCATCTGTGTCGGAATTGGGCTAGGAGTAGGTTTGCTGGTACATACCTACCAAGGCTCTACCCGTAACTTTCGAAGAAGACTACTGTAATAGAACATTTTCCCAATGCCTTTTGCTAAATAAGTCCTCCATATTCCCATGGGCTAACATAGATGGTGTTTCTAACATATCTTATTTGTGTGGATTAGGGGCCTAATAATTTGTGATTACTTAGGGGAAAAAAGCAATGGAATAAGTAGATTAATATCTATGATTATGTACAATCTCGAATTAGTAATCTTCCCTACATTTGATTTTCACAGGAATGAGATTTTCAGCCATATTTTTGCTACATTTGATTTATGTTATGAGTTTATATGCATGTCGCAAGTGTAAATCGCACCTATAATCACTTATGACTGTAATTTATTTTCTTCCCACATCAATAATGCTATCAATTTATCCTAAAATGTTCATTCCATCATTAATTCTCATCATACAAGTTAAAGAAGGAAAGACATCTCTTGAGAATCATCAATGCTGCACTCAACAACGAACTTTTCTTTACGGTTGCAGGCCATAATATGGTGGTGGTCGAAACCATTGTCGATTGACAATAAAACCGTGATGGCCATACTTCAATATAGAGGTGTTCCCAACGCTGTCCTACCAATCCTTCCTCAGCTACCATTGTCCAATGACACTGCTTTCGCATTGAGCTACAATGCCAAACTTAGAGGCCTAACTCTCCATTATACCCAGCAAATGTGCCTCTTGAAGTGGACACACATTTTTCTACACAATTGGATTAGGAATTAACCAATGTGCAACTTGCTTGAATGGAACACAACTCCTCACTGCTTCTTTGAACAACAACACCTTTGTTATGCCACAAAATGGCCTCCTTCAAGCTCATTATTTCAACATCAGGGGAGTATTTACTACGTATATCCCCGACCGCCCTCCGAAACCGTTCAATTACACTGGTGCACCCTTGACTGCAAACCTTGGTACTACTTTAGGCACCAGGCTAAGCAAGATTGCTCTCAACTCGATGGTGGAGTTAGTACTACAGGAAACCAATCTTCTAATTGTTGAATCCCATCCTTTCCACCTTCATGGCTACAATTTCTTCATTGTCGGGACTGGAATCGGGAACTTCGATCCAGGTACACATTCACCAGAAACTAGACATTAAACATCTTCTTGTACTAATGTCTTTTTATAATTTTTATTAAAATCACTTTTTTTCAAACAAATTGTCAATATTTCTTTATTTGCATTTTCTTAATCACCGCCTGTAATTTATTTAACTAACAGAATTAGAATAATTATGTTAATTTTAAAGGAAATTTGATTTAATGTTAGAGAGTATGTGCCATTAAATAATTTCTTTTTTAAAGAAAAATAATAATGAAAAACAACGCTCACAATCTGCCAATGATGCTTCTATAAGAAATTCAAATGTAAATTACACATTTAGTACCACACTTATTATTTTGTTTCGTTTTGATCATTCTTGTTTCGTTTTGATCATTCAACTATTATTTTTTTTTTCAAAATTATATCTAGTGCGATTTTTGGGTACTAAACGTGTAGTTCACCCGAAACTCAATATTGCCACCATCGATTAATTAGCTGCTACAAATATTGAAGATCACATTAATGAGACAATACTGTGTACAAAATTACTTGCAAATTGTCTCAATCTCAAAAAGCTTTTGTATCAAATCTTCATAACCATTGCGTATAAGCAACAATGTTTCTCTTCTGGGATGTCACCAAGAATGCTAATTTTTCTTTTCTTCCCACAAAATCCCCTGCTACTTTCCCGGTGAACCGCCCGACGCAAGTTTTAATCCCCACGGGAACCACTGTGCTTGCAGAAGCTTTCTTACCACTGTACTGCCAAATATGGAAGATGAAAAAGATTGTTATCTTTCAAGCGGATAAAACTGAAAATAAGGAGCTGATTAATTCATTCGAAACTCACCTGCTTCCCAATGTTGAAGGGGATGTACTTATACTCGATCATGTGTGCGATTTGTCGTCTCATTGTAAGGGCAAAAAGAACAATCCAGTTACAAAGTAATATAGGACAAAAGACAGGAACGTCAAATAAGGAAAAGAAAGTCATAACGAACGCTATGCAAAAAGCCTTTGTCATGGAGTACCTGCAAAATTATGAAACAGGCCCTTTATACACAGGTTCATATGGATCTCATGCTAGACAACAAACATGCAGATGGATAAATATGATTAAGGCAAATAATGACACAGGTCCATTCACAACTAGCACTTCTATGCCATGAACGGATATACTTTTCTACGCTGTGATTCTTTGCGAATATATATGTGTGCGCACCCGTATTATATTCTAAAGTAGTGAAATGCACGAGAATTAGTGAATTACAAGGTAATGGCTAATGAAATTGACAGATTTCAAGCATTTCTCCAACATTCTGAGAATCAGAAACTGGAAAGTAAAATACTGTTGCTGCCTATTGTTTCTTGTAAGGGAAATGCTTGTTACAGTCTTGCTAGAAGTGTTCAGGCCCTGATCAAACCAGCATGCTAATTGCAGTAAGTTAGTGAAGCTTTCGGCTCAAAAACATGGATCGACCAAAAGAAATTGATACCTGTAGAAAGTCCATCTAATCCATTCGATAGAGATGATCGCACACAAGATGACTACATTTTCAATGTTCCTGTTCTTCGCATCCTACAAGAATAATTTTGATATATTGCGTTTTATGTCGGGTTGAACTGAATCCACAACCATTTTCAGGAGAAATGGAAATAAAACTTGTAATTCCTACTTCAAATGCCCATATAAATTGCCTCACAGCATCAGCTGTTCCTTGGAACCACTTGTTCCCTTCTTCTCCTCATGTTTGAGTAGCAGCAAGAACCTGTTCATCAAATGAAGTTCCGTTCCATAATTTAGTTCTATCACCTCGAAAACATGACATTTATTCAGTAATTCTTAATTGATCTTCACTACTAGACCACATAAATGTGTAGAAAGTTGTAACAAATTGATCTTTATTAACCTTAAGGATCCCATACCTCCACAAATCCATCTCCAAAATTGATACCATTGCCATAATATGTTTGTGCAAGGTGTCGGTTAAGGGAAGCCGAGTTGAACTGCATCAGAACGAAGATCTTGTTTATCCCACTGTTGAAACAGTTGCTCATCGGAATGTCTATCAGCTTATAGCATCCTCCAATCAGAACCTACAGACGATATTCACATGAAACCAAGCATCACAGTCAAGACAAGAGATCTACCATCAAATTCAGCATCAAGCATACTATCAAACTACTAAAACAAAGAGACAAATCTGTCACGAAATTGAACATAGCATAAGAGAATCTGTATGTCCTTACAGCAGGTGTAGCTGCCCTTCGAGTAAGCGGAAAGAGACGAGTCCCTGCACCTCCTCCCAGTATGATCGAAGCCACATTCTTGGGGTCGAGTTTTCATCTATCGTATCGACGTTGTTGCACAATCTATAACCAAACATGGCCTTGATCAAACAAATACAATTGATGCACAAACAAGATATAACAAAGTGATCATGAAAAAGGAATTAACAAACCTTGGCTTCTCTGCGATTATTCGATGTGAGAATCGCAGAAGAACCGGTTTTGATCTTCATTTCTTTTTTATGATCAACATGATTGATCCACAAACTGTTATCAAGACTCCCTCTGGTTCTCTCCCCCAGAAATGCATTATCTCCATTGTTAAAGCTGCTTTTTCTTACATTCACCAAACGAGGATTGGCTTTCAAAGTCAGACAACATGACTCCATTAAAGCTTTCTCGCTAGCAGAGGCGAAACAGAGGTCAAATGTTGGTAATGCTCAATCCACATAGTATTGTAAACACTATTAACAATGGGTATTTAAGTTTTAGATTCTCTACTCCCTTGTTGAGTGAAAGTGAACACGAGGGACACTCGCACACCGCCGTTACCGACTATCTTGACACGACTCGGCTTGTGGTCGTGGTCTTTGAGATGTTCGTGTGGACACTATCTTTTTTTTAGAGAAAATTCTTGTGGAATTTATCTTTTAAAAAAACAAATGAAAAAATGTAAAAGATTTTACTTGATATTTATAGGTTGCTGAGTACTGTTTAAATTCAAATGATAACAGCAGATTTATGAGTTGTTTGGAATTAAACAGTTTTTTATTAAATTAAATCAAAATATTAAGATGTATCTGGACTGATTTCCAACTTTGTACAAAGAAGACAAACTGTTAATATCGGGAGTTACATTATTTAATTTCAGGAATTATAACAGCTGAATAATAATGCAATGAAATAAGACATGTTCATCTGGACGTTTCAGCTGTTACAATGAAGGGTTTTAATCATATTTTTTATGAATAATTTTAACTTTATTTCTAGCCTATAAATAGATAGTTGAATTCAGTTTCTCAACTCACTCTCTACATTTATAATTCACTCACCAAGTGTTTTCTAAAGTTGTTCTCTTTGTGCTTTCCGATCAGAAGTGCAATACCACTAGAGGTCCACTCTGATTTCGAGTGTACGAAATTTGGAGCGACCATGTTAACCTTGTTGGACGATCCGGCTACTGCAGCGATTACACACATAAGGGTAAATTCGTTTTTTTCAATTAATAGAATAATAGGAGAGAATAGAGGTTGTATTTTTTATTTTGGACGTACATAATTTAAAAAATTATGTTATCCTTAGAAGATATCGCTCATTTTTGCGTTAAATAATAAGAAAACCCTATTATAAGAATTAAAGGTTTAAAAGTATTAAATTTCTTCAATTCGTAATAATAATAGACAGAGCTCACTAATATAAATAATAAAGTTGAGAAATCACTGAAGAGGTACATTCGTTAGGAGCTTGTATATAGGAGAGAATAGAGGTTGTATTTAGGAGGTTGAGATAGAAGCTTGTGGTGGTCCAACAACACCATGCTGTTCACCTTCTCCTTGTGTGCTCCATTTCTGAAAAATACAAAAAAGAAAGAAAACCCTACTCTTTTTTCAAACCATAAGATGCAGAAAACCAACCCCATTGAAACAAATAATAAAAAAAATTACCTCCTGCTGCTGGCTTGGAGGTAGGAGGAGGGGCTTTGTGTTTCTCACAGTGTCGGTCTCGGCCCGATGTTGAAGCCGAAGATTAAGGCCCAAACCTACTAAAAGCTCCAATGTCGGACACAAAGTCCAACTTTGTGCTTCGAATGCACTTCGATACTTAACATGATTTATTAATGGAAGAATAAATAGTTGAGATGAACAAATCAGTCCGTTTCTGATTATGGGTTCTAAGGCTGCTCCAGGACTATCCGATCACTATTTATCCGTTTGTTTTATTGCCATACGGTTAGCTTTTGATTTGATAAGTGTTGTTGTTTGTTGTAACTCAATTGACACAATATATACTTTATCACATTTTCATATAATAATTTATACAATCAAACCCAAAACTCATTCACAAATATATATAAATTCAATTATGACTACGCTCATCTGATCCAAACTTTCATAACACTTTAAATCAACGAATTAGTCGATTTTTCTTTTTTGATTAGGAGTTTCTACCCAACCATCTTTTTCTAGTAGAATCAAAACAAGCAAGTCATATTTATAAATTGACCCTGATTTCTATAAATCTATAAACGATATTAAGTTTAGGATTTTATTTGCATTCGTAGGATAATGAATCAAATAGCACCAAATGATAGCTAGTAAGTATATCTTCAATTTGGAATTTAAAGTTCTAATTTACGGTTAATCCTAAAGTTCCAAGTTTAGTGTTGTAGAGAGCTTTCAACAATGAAGGTTTGATTATTTGGAGACGATGAACAAAAGCTTCATCTTTCCCTGGTTAACCAAAACGTAGGGTAGGAGAACACCTTCCTAAAGGGTTTCTAATATATCTAATTAATGACAAAAAGAAATTTAGACTGAATTATAAGAATATGACACCTAAGACACTCAAAATCCATTATCCGAAAGAAATGGAATAGTCATATAATAAATCATTTTATTACTTTTTTGTTTCCACTTAGACACTCTTTTTAATGATCACACTTTAGTCTTTAATTTTTTTTTCCACCATTTAGTCCTTAATTGAAAACCAAATTGAATCATATTTCAATCGAACTAAATTATCATTATCGAGAACACACTTAAAGGCTTATAACAATCAAATTAATCCTCAAAATAGTATGTTTGATTATGAATGTATCAACTTGAAAAAAATATGTTTAGTTAATGTACCAAATGTATATCTAAACAAAAATAATAATTAAAAATCATGACAAGATATAAATATCCATGATTTAAGTTAAAGACAAAAACGTAACTAATTTTTGTTACATATGGGGAAACACAAGCATGGCCGACCTTAGCTCAGTTGGCAGAGCGGAGGACTGTAGGGAGCATAGCCTTTCAGCTAAATTATTTTTGTTACATATGGGGAAACACAAGCATGGCCGACCTTAGCTCAGTTGGCAGAGCGGAGGACTGTAGGGAGCATAGCCTTTCAGCTAAATTCTTAGGTTGCTGTATCGAATCCGGCGGGTCGGAATAAGATTTTATTATTTTTAAAAAATTAAATTAAAATTTCCTGTTTATGGAGAAAGTAAAGAGGAAACAGAAGGAATTTATATTATTCGAAGAAGCTTTAAAAAATTAAAATTAGTGGGATCCAACTCAATAATCTGCCAAGCCAGCGTGTTTTGATAACCAAATGCTTAAATTCTGAACTAAGATTTATAATCAGCAAGTGTTCTTCAGAATCTTAGGCGATTCTTTGCTCCCGTGTTAATGAATCAGCTCCCACTCATCTATCATTTTATTACTGTTACATTAGACAAAAACCAACACTTCAAACCTTATTATAATTAATCAAGTGAGATTCTAAAGGCTTCTTTCTCCCTTATCTATACTTATTATTTTATAAAGCCTTTACCACTAAGAAATATATTATGACCATATCGATTAACATAGATTTTGTCGAATTAAGTTTCGATTAATATTTTGGATCTTTAAATTTATCTAATAATTTTCAATCCTCTTTTATATATATATATTTAAAAGGAATCATGCTTTTTGGGAGTAGCTTCAACTGGATAACCTAAAATCAAGAGACAAATGGAACCAGTAGCCCGTCTTTACCCTAAAAGCCCAATCATTCTATTTAATTATTCCTCCAAGTAGGGTTTCCATGGCATTTTTCCTTTTTAGAAAAAAACACTTTGTCGGTTAAGAATGGATGTAAGATTTTATAGCAAGAAATACGAATTTATGAAATTATATTAAAAATTTAGATATGTCGGATTATAAAACTTCAAGAAAATGTGATGTTGGATCATAAATAAAAAATTATAGATAATTTAAATTTTCTAAAAATACGATCAGCGTTTAAGCACCCCTCAACACATCGACTTTTTATTATAAAATGAAATTCCACAATTAGACAATCTACGAATAATCCATGTCAAATGCAGTTTCTGATTGCTCAAAGGCCACGGATTCTTATGTGCAAATAATTATGTTTGAAAATTAACATAAAACATTTTAAAAGTTTAGAAATAATTTAAAGGGACATTCTATACAATTAACCCTTTAATATATCTTTAATATTTAGGGTTAATTGCATCATATGTCCCTAAAATATAACCCTTACTTTAAATTAGTCTTTAAACTTTTGAATATTCTAATTAAATCCCTAAACTATGACCCTCTTTCTAAACTGGTCTCCTAACTTTTGAATCATCCAATTTCTTCCCCAAAATCATCCAAATATAATTAGCTTTAACCATAGTCTAACCTAAATTTTGTTATTTTCAAACATATAATAATATAACTTGATCTAATGATTTTATTAACAAGGGATGTGATTAGTATATAAGTATAGTTTGAGATAAAATTAGAATATTCAAAAAAAATTGGGGACCAATTTAGAATGAAGTTTGGGGATAAATTTAGAATGTTCAAAAGTTTGAGAACTAATATAGAATGATAGTCATAGTTTAGAGATGAAATTGAAATATGTAAAAAATTCAAAGACTAATTTAAAATGAAGATTATAATTTGGGGAAATGTGATATAATTAACTCTGATATTTATTTAGAAATAAATTATAGTGTAGAGTAATAAAAGATCTGAAAGACATGTGGTGGTGAAGACATCGTCGAAATCCACGTGGCATGAAAAGTGGAAAAGAGAAAGAAGGTCTCACTCTATTATTGGTGGGTGGATGGCGCAGAGGAGTGAATAACTGAATGGCAGTTAAGGAAAGTACTACAAATGAACAAAAGCAGAGGCGGAGGTGAGCTTACGTCGTCGTTCCGGCTGTGGGCTACTTAGTCATTAAGGAAAGGGGTAATTCCGGGATTTCCAAAAATTGAATTGAAGCCTGCCTGCCTACGCCACGTGGCGAACATCCTTTAAACGACGGTTTAGTAGGACAAGTAATTGTCAGCACTTAGGTTCGTGTTGTGCAACTTTTTGTTTTATCTTTTACAATGCATAAAAATGATCACTACAATCTGACACCTGCTTTTTATATCTAAAATTATTATTCTAGATAGTGTGATTGTTTCATTTAGGATAAGTTTTACGGTGCGGCAAGTTTAAAAACGGTTAAAATAAAGTGTTATTGATTTTATTATTATTTAAATAATAAAATTGATAAAAATTATTTAAATTTTTTTGGTAATTACTTAAAATATTATGTTAATTCGGTTATTTTTTAAGTCTAATAATATTTCTGATATTTTTTTTAAAAATCCGATAAAAAAACTCAAAAATAACAAAATCGATAGTGTCTAATAATATTTTCGGTAATTTTTTAATATGTCGTACCAAAATTATCCCAAAAAAAAAAGGTATGGGCTTGATTGCCTCCTACCCTCGCCCCGCTAAGTTAGTATCGTTAAAATTATAATATAGTTTTTTTAAACTGTTCGATTATATGAGCATTAAGATATTGTAAAAATCTAATTAATCAAGCTTAATTAGTGAAAAATTGCATGTCATATATATATATAAAGAAACATATCATCACTCTAATGATTATAATTTGCGATATTAATTTGAATTTATTAATAATATTATAAAAGAAAAAGGGACTATAATTAAAGTAAGACCATTATTTATTCCCATCAAGCGAAATAAGCTATTAATTTCCAAACAAATCAAACCGATTAATTGATTAAGTTCGATTTTTTATTATTATCGACAATACTGATATGGTGGTAAAGCATTATATATTAAAGTACGCTTAAAGTAATGAGACATGAGAAAATACCAATAATTCTATGGAAAAAAACAAAACCAATAATTTTCCTTTTTCTTTATATAAAGCAGTAAACTAAATAAAAGGAATATAATTATAACGTGCCTTTCTTTTTCAAAATAAATTCAAACCCAAAAAGGAAATAAATCAATCAATCAAATATAAAATATTCTTTATTTAATACACTATAACAAAAAAAAAGTAATTTCATAAGTAGAGTATAGATATGTATTTAATATACTAATACTATAAATTGTAACTTAAATCCTCTTTTTCTTCAATTTTTTTTATGGATAGTTATCTTATATATCACTTAGTGTTTTAACTCTAATTTTGAAATTAAATAAAATAACTATAAGATAATATCTATTCAGAATTTTCTTAGTCAATTGGTAATGAATACATACATACCATACATATATAATCGCTCGAATTCGAGACCTTTAAGGAGAATTACGCTCAATAGATCTACAGATCAGATACCAATGATTAATTCAAAAAATATATTTAAATAATGATTTATTAAAAATTAATAAATATAATTTTTTTATTATTTTGTGTGAAATTATATTGGTATAATAACTTGATTTTTTTTTTACAAAACAGACCATGTTAGATGAAAACTGTTTATTAACTACTAGTCAACCCATATTAATGACATAATATTTTCACATATGCTCAATTAATGACATAACATGTGTTGTGTTGTGTCACTTAAAATAACAACGTGTCATGTGTCATGTCATATCAAGTGACGACATAATATATTTCACATCACCCAAATGAAGATGTAATATATATCATATCATCAATTGAACAAATATGAAAATATCATATCATTAATATCGATTGATCATTAATCAACTGTCGATTTTTACAACAACAACAAAACCATATTCTCATATGCAATGAGGTAAGGGGGAGGTAGGATAGTAGGCTGCCCCCAACGCCAGGTTAAGAGCAGCTTCCGTGGAAGACCTCCGGCAGTCAGAAAATTAAAAAATAAAGATAAAATACAATGCATGTATAAATAAATACATAGTTGAACAATCTTCATATGCAATCTACATATGTGTGTCTGTAATGGGAAGTAATCTCAACAAATAAATCACTGCGTAAAAATCTGTGCATATAGATAGAAACGTAAGTCCGAGCTAAATTTAAAAAGGGGAAACATGAAGAGAATAATACACAATAGTAAGTGATAGCAAGTTACGATAAGGAATAAAGTCAAATGGGTTTAAAACCTAAACTAAGGCAACACTACTCTGCTATCCTAGTTCTAAGCTTTCATAAATTACAATGCCAGAAACGTATAAAAAGTAGAAGTCATGAAAATTACTACAAAGGTATTAAAAAGAAGACAAAGATGATACACCCTATTGTTGTGACCCACACTACTCGGCTACCCTGGTCTTAAGTCTCCATACTTTCCTGTCAGAGGTCATGTCTTCGGTAAGGGCTAAATCATTCAAATCAGATCTCAAACAGTCTACCAACTTCCTCATTGGTCGTCATCTTCTTCTGGCACCGTCGGCTGTAATCGACTCTACCCTTCTGACCACATCCGACGGTTGTCGCCTAAGGATATGCCCAAACTACCGTAGTCTTCCCTCCCTCAACTTTTCGGATACATGCACCACCCCCAAGGACATCCTAATTGCAGAGTTTGATGTCATTTCCCACAACTCCTACCACATGCCCATCGAAGCATTCTCATTTCTGCGGCCTCCATCCTCCTTACGTGATCCTTTTTGATTGCCTAACATTCTGATCCATACAGCAGCGCTGATATAATTGTCATTCTATAAAAATTTTCCCTTAAGTTTTAGAGGCACCTTCTTGTCACACAAAACTCCAGTAGCAGCCCTCCACTTTAGCCATCCCGTCTTTATACGGTGTGTAACATCATCATATATATCCCCTCTTTATGTATCATAGACCCTAGGTACTTGAAACAATCCTTTGAGGGGATAACGTGTCATTCGATGCATACTTCTACATCTTAATCATTTTGGTTTCCACTGAAGTTTGAACATAAATACTCTGTCTTTTCAATATTGATCCTTAGACATTTTTCTTCCAAAGTAATCTTTCAGGTAGCCAGTCTACTATTCAACTCATTTTTTGTTTCAGCAACTAGGACAATATCGTCAACGAAAAACATACACCATGAAATACCTTCTTGTGTCACACAAACAAAATACCTTAGAAAAGAAAGCAAGAAGAACCCAGATCCGATGCTAAGGGGAAAAGGCCAGAAAACAGAGTCCAACTATCGATTTTTATTAAACAAAATTTGTTTTAATCAAAAATTAAATTATTGAGGGTATTTTTTTCATCATGCGAATTATATTTGTTATAACAATGGATAAAAAAATTAAAAAAAATAAAAAGTTTATATTCATTTGCTCTATAAATAGAAGTCCTTGCGAGTTTATACACTAGCATAAATATTCTCAAACCAAAGAAGAAAGTTTAAAATAGAAGAATCTTAACCCATACAAACAACAAAACGGAGCAAATCATACTTATATATACTCCACTCTGTTTCCTCTGTTTTGTCCAATCTTCACCTTCCCTCTTAATCTTCAATTTCATCACCAAATCTATTTTTTCCATGAACCCTTTTCTGGATTAGAATTTTCCTTCAATTCCTTTGCCTCTTTTTATTTATTTTTTCGGTTTTAAATGGATGCATTCAACGTAAAGTTCGAGAAGCCAAAAGCAACGTTGAAGAATCGTCAGTTGAACAAGGTGGCAAGCTTACTGAGATTCGTGGAGTTTTGTGTTGTTCTTGTATTGATCTCCAGGTTCACAGTTCATCTCCCCGTCGCCGTTAAAAGTACCGGTGAGTATTTCCGGGGCTTATCAGTGGTTCTCGTGAGCCCTCGCTTCGTGTTCATCGTCGGGAACGTCATAGTCATCACTCTGTTCATCAAGGCTGGCCAGTTTTCGCCTCGAGGACCGACTTCCGGCACCGATCTCTACGATGAATTCGTCGAAAAGAGCGAGAAAAACGAGATGATTCATCGGTACGAAATCGAGTACAGGGAGAACCAAAGCAAGAAGAGTGTTGAACAAGAGAAAAAATCGATTCTCCATGTGCATAGAACAACATCAAAGGAGGCGATCAAGAGCTTTAGAAGAACTCAGTCGGAGAATCTTAATCGAAAGAAGTGCAAGCAACTGAGGAAATCGGGCTCGGAAAAGAACATAAAACATGGCGGTCCCGGCGAGAAGACGGTGAAGAGTTTGTATCCGGAAGACGGATTAAGCAGCGAACAGTTTCGGAACACGGTTGAGGCATTCATTGCCAGGCAAAAAAAGCTTCTGAGGGAAGAAGAAGAATACCCGGTGATTTGCAAAGATTTTGAGTGACAAAAGCAAATACTGGAGAACCCTTTGTTTTCAAATGATTGTTTTCTCAGGCTTTTGATTTTGCCTTCTTTTTTTACTTTCATTACTGTATACTGCTACGTACATGGTTACTTAATCATGATCTTCAGTGACTTCATCACTGTTCTTGTACAAATGAGAAACATTTGAATATTACAAATTAAGACATTAAACAAAATCGGGTCGGGACGATGCATGTAAAATCGAGTTGGATCGGAACAAGAAAAAAGCCGTTTCGTCTCGTCGGTCGCGACTCGCCATCCTAACTAATCCGAAGCTTCTTTTGGTCTGAGTGATTATTCCTGTTTCAGATTTGCAGATATCGTTTTGCTGAGAAAACTGGATTTTTATTCAGACAAGAAGAATTTACTTCTGTTAATATCCACTCACACAGTAGACTCTATATGCCCATATATCATCATGGTTTTAGAATGTATTCTAAATCTTGTTCACTGAACTGAAATTCACATCGAACCAAAAATTATTCTATATATTGTCGGATAAGCGAAAATAATCTGTTAAAATTATCTCTTTATATTCTTTTTCATTTCTTATTGTTAATCACAATTATTTATTTTTAGTTATCTAACGATTATAAATCACTGCAAAACATTTTAATTTTACGTTGTGTATCTAGATTCTACCTCTCTCTCATAGTGGCAGATACATGCTTTGCTCGAAGTGGGCATGAAATGAGAACTTTCTTTGATTAGTTATTTATTTTATTGATTGTGCTTAGCTTAAAATTTTATTTGTGTCTATCTGTATAAAAATTGTGTTGTTAATATGTTTGCCCACTATTTAAAATATTTTTAGATCCGTCAGTTCTCTCTCTATATATAATTTAACATTCACTTTATATCTCTGTTTTGAAAACCGGACCAACCGGTTCAACCGGGAACTGTTGCCTAGTCCGGTTCAATCTAAACCAGTTGAACCGCTACTATGAACCGGCCAGAACCGCTGAACCGTTCGAATCGAACCGGCTAAAAACCGGAAAAACCGGAAATTTTGTTTTTTTTTTAAAAAAAATTAAACCAAACGTCGTTTGTTAAACGAGCCAAGTCGAACTCGAGTATTGTTGAGCTCGACTCGAATTTGAAAACTTTAAAAGTAACCTCAACTCTACTCAAACTCACAAGTTAAAAATTATCAAGTTCAACTCGAACTCGAAATATAATATTGAAACTTGAACTCAAAAAGGCTTGAACTAAAAAAAATTTAGAAGCTCAATTGAAGCCTAAAATTCGAGCTTGATTGAAGTGAAAGAATAATTCACTCAATGCTCACCAAAAGGCTCCATGATTTTGAATGTCAAATTACTTCTATTATTTATAGAAGTTAGTTGTGATGCTCTTCTATGTTTCTTAGCAATGTGAGATTATTTTGTTCTCATATTTTTACTCTTTAGACTTTTGGGATGCTCTTCTATATTTCTTAGCCTAGATTGTTTTTTTTAAAAAAATTAAACCAAACAATATTATTTTGTTATGATTTTTTTTAGCCCCAAATTTATTTTTTTAATTATAGTTATATAATTATATTTTATTATTTAATATGTTTTACCTTAAATATTATGTTGTAGTTAATTTGAATCATTTTGTTTCACTTGATTTTATGATTTTTAATTTATATATGTTATGACTTGTTTTGAATATTACTTGTGATATAATTTTTTTTATTAAATATTTTTGGTATTTTTATTTAATTTTTTAAATAATTATGACGTCGTCCAGTTCTTCAGACCGGTTCGACCGGTTGAACCAGTGAACCGGTAGCATGGCCGGTTCGCTAACCGGTCCGGTTCTGAAAACCATGCTTTATATAGTATAACATTTTTATCGGTCTTTTTATCGGTTGTTTGGTTGATCTCATCATTTGATTTTTTTCATGATTGAATTTGATATCGTCACGATTAATTAAGATGGTGCTTATTTGTTATTTTGTTGATCTGTCATGCTTTGAACTATCGAATGAATTTGGATATGTGGTTTGCATACGGAGATAATCTTCTCACGAAGCTTGATTCTGATTTGCGATTGTCGGTGGTCTTTCAGTGGCTTAATCCCATGTTTTGGTTCGTCTGTCCATGCAATCATATCTATTCGCATCTTTATTTTTTTTGGATATATTTTTTAACATTTTCTTTGTATAGTCTTTATTTGATCTTAAGTGGTTAGTTTCATATCAATTTTATAGAAAATATCCTAATTATGTGATTAGTTTACGTTTATAGTTGGAAGATTTTATTGTAATTTTGATTTTTTTTAATAAATCTAACTGCTTTTACTTGCGTCAAATTTTTTCTTTAAAATTTAAATCAGTTAAGTTCGTTGAATTAATTGAATTAAATGACTCACGTGATTGAAAATCTTAATACCCATTTATATAATATAAGTTCAAGTAAAATGTATAAACATAATAACACTTTCAGTAAAATATTAGAGTCATGACTCACATGTAGTCTCTTTGCTAAAGTTGACAAAATCTTCACAATCTACCTACCTACCTTTCTTGAATTTCTTCATTGATTAATATATATATATGCGCGCGTGTGTGAGATTACTAAGAGTTTAGTGGAGCACCACTCATGCAAGTATATAATATAAATTCAAATATCAGTTAAGGATAATTTATATAAAAAAAATTAGGGGGCCAAATTGCATCTCAAAGTCAAAGCCAGGGACGAAATTGCATTTTAAAACCAAAGTTAAGGGCCGAGTTGCATATCAAAGCCAAAGTCGGGGACCAAAAGATAAATTAAGCATCAAGTCAAAGAGATAGCAAGACCGTAAAAAAAAAAGGTTTGAATGGAGTGGCATGCATATCGCTAGATTCTAACCATGGCTTATAACGGCAACTTTTGGAAGTCATTAGACCTCGTCAAGATTAGTAAACGTTAAAACATAAAAAAAACAAATCATATGTTGTTCACAATAACTAAAATCTGTCAAATCTCAATCATGGCATGCTGTTTTCTAGTACATATCTCTTAAGAACGAACTTATTCAATATATATATATATACATAACTCTCCCTTTCTCTATTAGTCCTCAGCCACCTTCTCTCATAAGGTACATCATCATCTCTTTCCATTTCATCTTGCACATAATTTTGATTTCCAGTGTTTGGTTTCCCGGAAAATTTTTGATTCTAATGGCTTAGTTTCATATACTTGAATGTGTTTATAGGTGTAAGTAATCATGGCTGACACCTTGGCTCTACCTGTTGAACGACCAGCTAAAATGAGTGAGTCTTCTTCAAGCATTTCAAGATTTTTTTTTTTGGTATTGAATGATAAATAACTTTAATGAATTCATGTTTTTTGCAGGTCCTGAAAAATCTGATTTAGAGAGCTCTGAGGATGAAAGGAAGAAAAGGATTGGATCTCTTAAGAAAATGGCAGTTAGTGCCTCGAGCAGGTTCAGGAATTCTCTTAAAAAGAGAACCAGGAAACACAGTAGAGTTATGTCCGCCGGAAGTATAGACGACAACCTCGATGTTGAGGAACTACAGGCAGTCGACTCGTTCCGTCAGGCACTTATATTAGACGAGCTATTGCCTTCTAAGCATGATGATCACCATATGATGCTAAGGTCACACAATCTTTCATTTGAATCTCTATATGAATTGTAGTTACATACATATTTCAACTGCTCATTAGCTCTGGATGCAGGTTTCTGAGGGCGAGGAAATTCGATCTCGATAAAGCGAAGCAAATGTGGGCTGATATGATCCAATGGAGGAAGGATTTTGGGGCTGACACAATCATGGAGGTAAACACAAGAATCATTGAATCAATCACACTGCTATATATATATATATATATATATCTGTTGCAACATTGTGATCTGCAATCTGAACTTGCTTCTTTCGGGTGCGGTTTCGATGTTAAGGACTTTGATTTCAAGGAATACAATGAAGTGATCAAGTATTATCCACAAGGATATCATGGAGTTGATAAAGATGGACGACCTGTTTATATCGAAAGGCTCGGTCAGGTTGATGCTAACAAGCTGACTCAAGTCACGACGATCGACCGATATCTGAAGTACCACGTAAAGGAGTTCGAGAAGACCTTTGCTGTTAAGTTCCCTGCAGCATCCATTGCTGCAAAAAAGCAAATTAATCAAAGCACAACCATATTGGATGTTGAAGGAGTGGTATGTCAAATATGTTATATAAATCTATATATATATACATATATATGTATGAATGTATATCTCCAACATTTGCTTTGTTGCAGTCCTAATGCCTGTGTGTACTATAAATTAAAACTTTCAGGGTCTTAAAAGCTTCAACAAGGCTGCAAGGGAGCTCCTACATCGCCTTCAAAAGATCGACGGCGACAACTATCCCGAGGTAATCTTACTTCTTAACCTCAGTTAGCAACAAAGGTTTTTTTTTCTTCAATTGAAGTCTATACTAATTCAATGCCTATATATTGCAGACTCTGAACCGAATGTTTATCATCAATGCTGGCTCTGGGTTTAGGCTCCTATGGAGCACGGTTAAATCGTTCCTCGACCCGAAGACCACCTCGAAAATCCATGTAAGTACATAAATCCACCAAATTACTTGAAGCTAGATATAATTATAATGTTGATGAACAAACAAACAACATTTTTGTTATATTTCACCAGGTTTTGGGTAACAAATACCAGAGCAAATTGCTGGAAGTGATTGATGCTAAGTGAGTCCCTTCTCAACCGATCAAATTCATTGTTGTTTTATACCTTTCTATGTTCAAAACATTTCTTAGTTCGGTTTTTCATTTTTCGACAGCGAGCTGCCGGAGTTTTTGGGTGGTAGCTGTACCTGTGCAGACAAAGGAGGCTGCATGGTCTCAGACAAGGGTCCATGGAACGATCCTGAAATACTAAAGGTAATTCATTCACACAAAGATTGATATTTTTTGATTTAATAATTTTGATTTATTTCTTGAAATAATTAAATGGGGTGCTCCATTTTTATGATCTTAGAGAGTACAAAATGGTGAGTTCAAGCGCAAAATGAGAAATAAATCAAGCACCGAGGACAAAGAGTGCCTAGAGGTAGAGCCCGCCATTTTCATACTTACAATCCCAAGTCTCAATATCTAGCATCCTGCAAATTGAACGCCTAACTTACTCTTTTTGTTCGATGTTTCCGACAAGAAGATGAATCGTTCCATTGATGCCGAAACGGCTATAGGCACTGCTGAATGGCATGCAGAGAATACACCACTGTCTCCTGTAATTGAAGTAAGTTTTCCCAATATATAATGCCATGTCAAACAATGCAGAGAAATTAGGAGTTCTGGGTTTTTAACGCTGCAATTTATACGTACTGCAGTCTCCCAACAAGAAGTGTCAGGATTCCTTTGCCTACGACAAATGTGTTCCGGTTGTCGACAAGGGGATCGATTCTTTTTGGTCTAACTCAGTGGAAGATGAACATTTTTCCATTTCCAAAGGTAGATGGTTTTTGCTAACTACGTGAAGATAGTTTGATTAACCATCCTGATATTGTTGTAACAGCGTCACTTTATTCTTTTTTCGGTCAATTCAGATTGTTACCAAGTGAAGGATGAAGGGAAAAGAATGAGCACCAACGTTTTCGGAGGATTAATGAGCTTCGTTATAAGTATGGTGGCCATTATTCGCTTGTCTCGCAACGTGCCGAGGAAGCTAACGGAAGCTGCCTTGTACAATGGTCAAGTTCACCAATCAAAGCCGATGATCACGGGGTATACGACCGATCAGTCGCAACAGCCGCCTATCAAGAGCAATGACTACGTTGCCATGGAGAAACGCATGGCTAAACTGGAAGAGGCGATGAGTTTTCTCATACAGAAACCAGCAACCATGCCGCCGGAGAAAGAGGAGATGCTGAATGATGCATTAAGCCGGGTCTGCACCTTGGAAGTGGAGCTATCTGCAGCCAAGAAGGTATATACATACTTACAAGCTTGGCTAAGTTTAATAACTCAAAACTCTAAACCCATCAAGTGACCTAATGATAAAGGAGAGTGTTATTCTTTGTAGAGGTCTCGAGTTTGAGCAATTGCATCTGTGTGCGTCATCGATGATTAAGAAAAGTTCTGAGCAAATACCTTGTAATCACCCCAGAACTATTCAATTTGAATAAGGACGTGGGCGTGTTTTTTTCTCTCCGTGCTTGGATTTTAATTGTGTGGTGTTTTGTTGAATATGCAGGCACTTCAGGAAGCCCTTGTTAAACAGGAGGAACTTCGAACATACATTGACAAGAAAAAGAAGAAGTTTGTAAGTTATCAAAGCTTTTATATTCTTTATATTTGTTTTAATTCGTTCATTATATTTCATGTTCTATTCACATAAATCGTGTACATTTTCTTGAAATCCGAAAATACGGTGCTTGCATATATCACACATCTCATTTTCTTGGACTATGGTTGCAGAACCCATTCCGTTGGTAAGCTGAACCTTGATGTTGGGAGGCAAATGACAATGGCGATATTCACCCCCGACAAATGAAATCCTTTTGAATATTGTTTTGGTTTGCACAATAATCTTTGGGTATATTTTTCTCTAGTTTTGTGTGTACATTTTCGAACAATTATTTTCTCAAACACTGGTTTTGTCTGGGCATAGTTGTAATGTGTTGTTTAAAAGTTCAAAAATGCAGTCTCATAAGTGTGAAGAACCAACTGATGTAAAAGATTAGGGTGGAGTGATCAATGTGCACAGACCCCTGCCCCTTTTAACTTAAGAAATATGCAGCAATTTCAAGCATTACATGGAAGCGCAAAACAAAATTTGTATTCAATTAACTTTGGAAATGAAGAAGGTTTGTGTTCAATTCATTACGAGCGAATTGAATAATAGAAATGAAGGCCAAACATAGAAGTTTGATTCATGGAATGTAAGATTACATTTAGGAATAATATTACTGAAATGTAACATTACTATAGGAATATTGTATTACTTTATTTGGTTTGTTTAGCAGGAATGTAAGATTACAGTGTTTGGCTAGAGAAATAAAAGATTATTTGGATGCATATTTTAACAAATTATCCTTATGATATATTTTTTTAAAGTTAAACTTTAATATTAATTTATAAATATTTGAATGAAAATTCATAAAAATATTTTAATCGTTATACTATCTAACTTTTGAGGAGAAATTACATTTATATTTTTAAATAATGTTCATAAATATCATATTTATTTATATAAAATATAATGTAATATAAAAAATAATATTACGGTAGTAGAATATTATTTTAAATAATTACATTTTTACAATAATACTATTTTTTCATCCCATAAAATTAAAAATATAAAATATTTTAAATTCTCAAAATTATTAATATTTTAGTAAATTAAACTCTTTGTATACTATTATTATTTTTATAATTTTGAGTAAAGTATAAAAAATAAGAATTTAGAAGGATCATTATAAAAAAAAAATTCATTAGTAAAAGAGTATTCTTGTCCAAAGTGATGTGAATGTAAGATTACTTAAGAATTTAGAGCTAATGACATTCCCACTATTTTAATCAAAAAATGCTATTATTAGGAAAAGAATATTCCCGGTAATGTAAGATTTCGTAAACCAAATATGGGACAAATCCGGGAAAAAATATTCCCCTTGGTAATGTAAGATTCCGCGAACTAACGCACCCTCAAGGTTTTGTTTGGTTGAACGGAAAAATAGCAAGATAGAGGAAGAGAACGGAAAAATAGCAGGATAGAGGAAGAGAACGGAAAAGTGAAAAGAATATAAATTTTAAATGTGCAAAAAAAAAAATCAAAATAAAGAATAAGAGAGATGGTCATTTTCTATTATCATCAAATTTATGTATTCTTCAAAACTTAATTTTATTTCCTCTTGTTTTTCAACTCGAAAAGAAAATATCATTTTCTTTCAATTTTCTTTCCTGTTATAGTCTCTCCAAGGGAAAAGGAACATCACCAGAAAAACTTCTTTTTCTGAAACAGAGATGGAAAATCAGTCATAATCAGAGCATGATAAGAACAAAGGCATAACCATAAAAGGAAAATTATTACCCAGAACACAAGTAAAATTTCATACCCGAAGTTTGGCTTCTTCTTGACTGTCTATGTAAGCAAGAAGTTCTTCTTGCCTCATCAAAGCCTGGTGAAGAGCCTGTTCAAAACAGCAGATACATGCATAATGGAAATGAAGATCCCAGTAAAGGAGAACAAGAATGAAAATAATTACAAGCATCTTGAAATAAAAAAAGCGTTGTAAGCATGTCAAAACACGTGGTTAATAGGTTGATAACAAATACTCTTCAAAACACGTGGTTAATAGGCGTCGAGTTTTATGTTTGACACCATCAGAAGTTCAGACATTCGTCACTCTAGAAGCTCTATTTGTTTGAATGACCTAGGTGGAAATGGATTAGGAAGCTCTAACGTAAATATGGGAAATGTTTTGGGAAAATTAACAAAATTAAGATCGCCAAACGTACCTTCTTGGTAGCGATTAGCTCTGCTTCTAGGCCATCAACGCGACATACAGCGGCATTCAACAATTCCTCCTTCTCATAAGGCATCTCAAATGGCTTTGCTTGTAATGTATCAACTTTCTCTTCAAGCTCAACCATCCTCTTGAGCACAGAAGATACTACATCTGCCTGAGAAGGAAGAGGTGGAGATGGGGGAAGCTCTTCCCTTTGAGTTGTATCAGAGGTAAGTTCAGTACCAGAAATGTGCCAGGAAGATTTCTGGTTATATTGAAGGCTGCTGAGCGCAGCAGAGTGTAAAGAGTCATGAAAAAGCCATAAGAGTCGGCAAAACCCGAGCTCGGATTCCTTCTGGGGTCTGAGGAGTCTCAGGCAATGTTAATGCACCTGAATTGGAAAATAGCATTTCATTTTCTTAAGCATGTTACAAACGAGATAAGGAAGCTTTTAAGAAGAAATATGTAGAATCTAAAAGGGTAACAGACTATACAATATTATATTTGTTAACCTCTGGAACCAGAAGGCATCAGGAGGGATGTTTGTTTATTCCAACTAGCATCAACAGTTTTGTCTACCATAGGAATATATTCATCATAGCCTGAGAAGTTACCAGTATGGCTAGTTCTCCCGACAACCTTAATATGCATGAATTACAATGCCCGAGAAGAGCATTAGCAACATTGCGAAAAATGCACATGATACTACTAAACTTGGGTGTAGAATCTTGTTAGATGAATAATGAAGTCATCATGATAATCATTGGTCAAAGCATACTTTCGACTGAAAACGAAAAAAAAAAAAACCTAAAAATGCAACTAGCTGACTGAAAGAAAAGAAAGCAAAAACAGTCCAACTTTATAACCAGTTTCATACTGATGAACTCAGCATCCCAAAGCATTTTAGTGCTCCAAAAGCAGAATTCTATATCAACTTCACCTGTATCCAACAGTATATATACTCATAATGAATGTAATCTGAGACACATTATAAACAACAAGCAATGTACTTCAATTACATAACTGATATGAAGGATTAGAATGTCAAAAGAACTCACTTCTTCATGAACAGGGGTCAGCCTAAGCTGTAAGTAGTTCCTTGATGCTTTTGGGGATGTGATATCTTCAGCTTCCGATCCAGATTCAGCCGTGGATGTATCATTACTTTTCAACTGCTTCACACAGCACAATATGCAATGAGATAATTCAAGAATCTTATCTCAAAAGTCAAAAGAGGAATGTCAAACATTTTTCAGAACAAAAGGATCATTACAAGTTAGAAAGAAAATATACCATTGGAAGATGTGGCTTAGCATAAGCAATAACCTTCCCATAACTATTCAAAACTTTTACGACTTGTCTGGGATGCATTGCCTCAGAATTAAGAAAAATCTGAGATAAAAACAAGCAATAGTGTGTTTCTTTGTTAGGAAAAAAGAAGTAAAACACCGATCAAGCCCTAGGAATTAACAGCACCAACAACATATCATAAAGCAAGGCCAGTTTACAACCTTCAATATTTCGGGATTTCTCCAAGGCCCTTTATCAGAGCGAAGGCAACCTCCCTGATCTGCACAAGTACAGCTACCGCCCAGAAATTCTGGCAACTCACTGAAAGGAATTAAAATATCACCATAAGCTTTTTGATAGAATGAGACAACCACCAACTGTTAGTAAAAGAATATATATTTTAAGCGCAGAATGCTGACAAAAATTGTATGGACAAATAGAGTAAAATAAAGATAACACAATAATATAACATGTCATAGAAGTTCTAAGCCCATTTACCTGACATCAATAATCTAGAGCAATTTGCTCAGGTACTTGTTTCCAATAACCTGAAGTCAATGCACACATTACATGCATGTATAATTACAATTCAACGACAAATAAAGGGAATGAGAATTAAAAAGCAAAGAAAATGTATACTCGATTTCAAAAAGTATTGCATATAAAGTGTATAAAGTACATGGATCTTTGAAGTTGTTTTGGGATCCAGAAATGTCTTCACAGTATTCCACAAAAGCCTAAACCCAGGTCCAGCATTGATAATAAACATTTGATGAAGCGTCTGTAAAAGTAAAAGGACAACGTAAAATTTTGGCTTAACATAAAATAATATATAAACTTTCATAGAAGCATGGCTTCGTAATTCGTCATGTCAGCACATTGATATGTCAGACCTCAGGGTAGTTGTCACCATCAATCTTCTGTAGCCGCATAATCATTTCCCTTGCAGACTTGGTAAAATTCTTAAAGCTCTAAGAACAGATGAAAAGAAAAAGTATTTATCACTTAGGTACTACATAGAAGCCAAATATTTATGAACTAACAACTCAATGAATCAAAAAACATACCACACCATGTACATCTAAAATTGTGGTGCTTGAATCAATGTGCCTGCTTGCAGCAATTGTACAAGCAGGAAACTTTACACTGAAGGCCCTCTCAAACTCCGGGACATGGTAGGTATTTTACATACCGATCCAAGGTTGTAACTTGCATGAGTTTGTTGGGATCAACTTTTCCCAATCTTTCAATATACACAGGCCTTCCCTCCTTATCAACACCATGATAACCATGAGGGTAATACCTTAAAACCTCATTCAACTCTTTAAACTCAAAATCCTGCAAAAAAAGGATAAAAATGCAGTGAAAAACATTGATTACATCCGATACTACCTCAGGCAAACAATTAACAATAATTACCTCCATGATGGTGTCAACACTAAACTCCTTCCTCCATTGGAGCATATCTGCCCACATGTGTTTAGCTTTATCTATATCAAACTTCCTTGCTTTCAAGAACCTAGATAAAAGTAAACTAGAACTGATTATCACATGTTGCATCATTAAAAGTAGGCAAAGCAACCAAAAGAGAGGACAGCAGCAGAAATGGCACCGAAGCTAACAAAGTATACATCAGCAAGCGGAAAGCAAATAAATTGTGTTTTAAAAGCTAAACAAAGAGCATGATAAATAAACTCAAAATTCTTCTTATGTTTTTCTTAATAAAGCCAATTAGATTCAGGTTAAAATTTTAACAAGTCAAATAACAGTTGAGAATCATCACAGAAATAACAAAATAGATATAGAATGCTTATAG